CTATCCTCTATCATATCCTTATCACCTTGTGGGTCTCTGCGATCTTTTATCTTTTCCTAAATCCTAATTTATCATTTTAATGTTATTCTTTCAAAAATTTTACGATCTTGTCACCGCATGATCTAAAAAAAATGCACTCAAAACGGAAACTGAAAGTTTGCGTAATTTCCGTTTTCTACGCTGTTTGTTTACCTAATTTGAAACACTTTTCCCACTCAGCTCTGTAATTGTAACTAGGGTTTCTCATTTCCCGGTCTTTTGCTTGTCCCGGGATTGCGGGATAAAAGTGAACTATTTCCCGGGATCCCGGGATATAGAATCAATTATTTTTAAGGTATACAAAATATCTTGAAATTAAATGATATAATTATTTTTCATTTTTTAAAAGTAATTTTAAAGTTCTGTATCATCCAAAATCATATTAATAATGCTGTGTAAGATATATAATAAAAATTACCTTTGAATTACGTAGAAATTTTCACAAATAGAAAAAATTATTAAAGTTTGCTAGAAACTGCATACAACAACAACAACAACAACAAAAATGCTTTGAATTGAGTTAAAAATTAAAGATTGAACTTAGATCAAACTTATAACTTAAAAGGTAATTTTCGTTTTTTAAATAAAATATAATACAAAATATTGTAAACTTTTATAAGATTTTAAAAAGCAAAGATGATCAATACTCCGATCACTCACTCTAATTCTTATTTTAGTAATGAAAAGTCTCGCTATGGTGAATGCCCTTTCCGATTGGAATCGTGTTTAATGCATTTAAGAGAAGACAGATATTATGCGTTTTTTCACCTGTAGACTGGAAGATTTCGAATTTGTTTTCGAGATTGTAGTACTTCTTTTGCTCTCTAGTATTTTTGATTTGTCTACCTCGGCTGCTTTAATAGCGGCATCAAGCTTATAACTCAATAATTCGGCAATTCGTTTGGCTTTAATAATCAGATTTATGAAGAAAAATTTCATATTTGCAGACTTTATACTCGTTTGTACCTTTGCCCAATTTGCACAATCTGGCGTTACGCATTTATTGAAGCTACTGGGCATGGTTAAAAATTAAGACAGCGTAAGCACAGTTATTCCATATATTACAGGTTCTGACAAGTAAAGAATTTTCAGAGTCCGGCACAAATAAGCTACGTATTGATTATCGACCATTTGTGACATGCCATAACGAGCAAAAATTAAAAAAAAAACTAATAGGTAGGTTTAAAATTAATAAATACAAATGTATTCTGACAGTGAATGAGATAATTATGCTTTTTATTTGCAAAATTTCTTAACCTTAACACAAAATAAGAAAAAAAGTGAATTTTTAAGAAATTTGCGGGATTTCCCGGGATATTTCCCGGGTTAAAAAAACAACCGGGATCCCGGGATTCCGTTTGAGAAACACTAATTGTAACCTAATTAATAATTTTGTATTACAATTATGAGTTAGATTTCAAAGTAATAAAATACGACATGTTTTAAATAGAATATACTAGGTAAACAAGTATTAAAATTTCTCACTTAAATTTAATACAGTAGAGCGTCGTTTATCCGAACCAATTGGGGACTGGGGTTGTTCGGATAACTTATTTTTCGGATAACCGATTATGTACGAAAAAATATATTAACCTATCCCGTGTTGAAATTTTTCTCCGTTGCGTGTGCTTCGCGTTGAATTTTCGTCTATGTTAAGCCTAACGTAAACTTTTTAAAATATTGATGATAATTGTGGCTATTGTATCGTTAAAAATGATTTCTTTATGTTTTACAAACGAAATAAATACATTGAAAAATGTAAAAACAAATAAAAATTATACTTTCGGCCTACTGGAATTCTTTCGGATAAACGACGCTCTACTCTATTTGGTCTCTAATTTTACATGTATAAAATGACTAATCTTTGTAACAGTTTAATCAACGTAAGATCTATGATAATCGGCCAGGAGATTCACAGACCCAAATCATTGCAAATTAAAAACACCATATATATATTTTTAATATAATATAGAATGTATGTACTGTATATAGGCCACTTAGATAATATGTTCGCTTATAACTCAAGACGTGTAAATTGGACGTTCACCAATTATGTTTACCATGCTAAATTATAACTGGAAGAATTTATAGGTTTCACATATGTTTCCATCCTCCTAAAGATCGAATTTACAACTAGATTTACCGCAGGCGTAGGCAATAAGGATTGCCCACGTCTTGCGGTATTGCGGCCTTATTCCACAACAATGTATTGATGTGGAATAAGGCCGAAACACTAAAAATATAATGTATGACAATTCTACATTTATAAATGTCCCATAGAAAAGTCTCGAAGGGTAATAGATTGCTCATACCTGATTTATGGACTCCTGTCACATCTAGGTTTCTAGGAATAGGCAATTACATAGTTTGCTTAGGTTTAAATACATTTTTTATAAAATTTATTGATAGGAAGAAAGCGTAGCCTGCGAATATAGAAAATGGTTAGGAACTATTCATTTGTAGTGTAAAAAAATCAATAATTTCTGTTTATTTCAAAAAATATAGAACAATATCATGATTTGTATAATCATTTATTAAAGAAAATGTGTTCCAAAAGTGTTATTGCTTGATTAATGAATTTACAAAAATTAAAATTTTTATAATACAGTATATTGTATTTTTATACTTTTACTTTTGATAAAATTAAAATGAAAGAGCAACACGATAATTCTTTACAGAGAATATAAATATAGAAAAATTTTATATTAAAAAAATTCTGCTTGTTTAGTGGAGACGGGATAATCTAAGCCCATGAAGAAATTGTTTCTAAGCGAATTCTACAGGGGCTTGCAATATTTTGGTCTCCATTAAAACATGCAGAATGGACTTTATTGGCTTACAATAATAACTTTGTATACAGGTTAACAACACTCTTAAGTACTGGTAAAATATACAATAAACTCCCAACAACCTTTAAATAACCAGTAAAATATTTTAAAATACTATTACAAACGTTTTCGACCGTTATTTCCGGTCTTCTTCAGGTTAAAAGTTCTGAGATTCGAATAGCAGTTGTGCTTGAAGATTTAAACTTGTAATTATTTTAAATATTTTACTGGTTAGATTTACCCTAAGTATCCAAGATGGCGGCGGTCGCCAATTCGGTCGGTGCTTTCGGTCGCCATCTTGTTTGCACGTGTGCATGCGCAAACAAGATGGCGACCGTCGACAATAACCAAAACGCGCCTATATTTAAAAAAAACTTTTTTTTAAACTAAAAAACAATTTTTAAAACGTAAATTTGCTACTTACTTACTTTTTCCCGTGCTTTTGGTTTCATTTCCTACTTTGGGATTGGAGACGAAAGAAAAAAGAAAATGTCACCATACTACCATTAGAAAACCATCGATAACCGGACGTAGTGAATTACGAGATTGGATCATACATCGGTGGTTCGAACGGGATTTGCCTGGAGTGCAAATATAAGATTAAGCCTGTGGGGAACTGCAGCCTTGGGGCTCGCTTCACTCGCTGCATCGGCCGCGCGACAGCGCGGACTCGGAATACAATATAATCATCAAACCTAGGTTATGAACAGTAAAGAATATGAATCACTAACCTCCGGGAGATCCGTCGTAGGGAGCTCGAACATACGCTACTTAGTGGAAAACTAAAACGGCAGCGTAGAATGCAAGTTGTGAAAAGGCGGCAAGTTTTAACCGACAGATAAACAGTAAAAACCATTGGCCAAATTTTCCTACTCTTTTTAACTTTAAAGAAAGAAAAAAGAAAAGAAAATTGTACAAACTTTAAAAAAAAACACAAGCGCCATTCGAAAAGATAACACGCACCGTCCACCGTAACCGAACTCAAAATTTGCATAATTCCTCATATTTTCCGAGTGGAAATTTTCCAAGAAAATTCGCATACGAAACCGTCAGTATGATAAGCGCCATCTACATTTCATTTCTAAACGCGCATGCCGTCGAGGTTACCGGATGGGCCGCCATCTTGTATACCTAGGGTAAATGTAACCTTCCATTGAAACGAAGGAATTCGGTATTGTAAAACTTGTCATATTTCCCGTTCTATGTTCGTGTGAGAAAAGGGAAGTGACATTGATATCGGGTCAGAATCGAAAAAGTAAATACTTTCTCGGAGGGAGGTATCTGGGGATCTTGTGGACCCAGCTGCATTCTCTCCGAAAGGGAAGAGAAACACCATTTTCTTTATTAATTCATATGCCTCTGTGTCCTTATGGTATAGATTAATAAGTAAAAACTATCTACAAAAAAGTAAAAGGTATCTAGATACAAAGGGACTTATTTTATTAACAGGACTTACTATACTGGTGACCTAGTTCAGCAAAATTCTAGCAAACTAATCAGAAAAAAATCAGTCTATTTTTCACTTAAACACCTTTTACACGATATAATTGTGTTCGGACCTGTTGGTCCCTCGACAGCAGATTTACATCGAAAAATTTCTGAAAGATTTTTCTAAAAAAAATACAGTATTTAAAAATTACTACAATTTATACATTTCTGACCATAAAACCGATATTAAAGGAAATAAAAGAACTTACAGTATCTTTATAATCAATTACACCGAAATTTAAAATTATTAACAGGGTACATCCAAATATGTTTCCAATTCCTGCATTTAATAACAGTAAGTATAAGCCATTTTATTAAAAAGATTAGTTAAACATTTTAAAACTTACGTATTCCACACCAACTATAACTTGAACAATTATCCTATTACGATATTGTTTCCCTTACCCGTCATTTCCTCTGTCGATGATACCTTTCCATGATTGGTGGATTTCTCTTCCCATATTGTTCATTGTTTTTTTGTCTTCTTATATAGATATGTGCCTGAAACCTGACTTTACCTCACGAAAAATAGAGTATGAACAACACGATCTCTTTTTTCGATTATTTTATTTCCCTGTTTATCTCTTGAGTATGAGTAAATTCGCGCATTAAAAATACGGTTATAACAGGGAAGACTGTATTTTATTATTACGAAATTAAAAACATTTTAAGCGTGTTAATATTCTTGTTTTGAAACCAAGTATTTATAATTCCGTTTTTATTGTTACAGATATTCATTCTAATCCTGATTCAATGTCATTATTTTCCTGGGAACAAGCTGACTGTTCTATAACGAAAAACTTCGATTCTATTCATCTTTAAATTAAATAAAACTAAAAAAATTCACAAATAAAGAACATACCAATATTTTTAAGAGGTCTGTTTATTAGATTTTAGTTTCACTATGATCAGTTGTGGTTGCGGAAAGCTATGCAAAGGACAACGTGGCCTTTCTATTCATAGAGCAAAAGGCAATTGTGGTAGCTCATCATCAGGTTTGTTCAATTCAATGTCATCAAATTATTATACTCCCTCATATATTTCATCTTCATCAAGTCATTATAGTTCATCGTCGTTATTTTCGTCAAGTTCGGATATGGTAGCATGTGGTTCATGTGGAGGAAAATTTAAAGGACAACATGGTCTCGCTATTCATAAAGCCAAAAGCTGTTGCGGATCATCTTCATCAAATCATAGTTCATCGTTATTTCCAAGTTCGATTATGGTAAAATGTGATTCGTGCGGGGGAGAATATAAAGGACAACACGGTCTTTCCATTCATAAAGCCAAAAGCAGATGTGGCAGTTCATTAAAATCATCATCGACCTCATCTAAATTTGATACACATTCAGAACATTGTGAAGACTGTGGACAGGCATTTAAGGGTAAAAGAGGATTGATTATTCATAGAGCAAAATCTAAATGTGGTAGAGCGAGACAATATCAAATCCAAAAAAGTGTGGATATATGCACAGAGTGGTTAAATAATTTGAATCAACAAGATTATTTTAATACTCATTATGATCCTTCTATGTATAATCTAGAGGAACGACAACGGCCGAACGCTGTTGGATTAAACTATGACATACCTTCTACAGTAGTAAATAATATCAATGAAGCACCTCAACCAGTTGTTTGGTCGGAAATCGGTATAGATTTTAAAGAAAAAATAATTTATGAAAAAGAAAAATTTTATCAGAAGTCAACAAATCAAACAGTAAGTTAAATTAAAAATAAAATGTTAAACATTTTAAAGGTCTTTAGTGTGTAATTTGAACTAATGTTTGTTTTTATTTTCAGTCTAAAGAAAGTAACGATTGGAGATTGAATACAAAAACATTTGCAGAGCGACTTTCATTTATTTTTAAAAGAAATTTATATGTTGATATTAAATTTGTACTGAATTGTGAGAATAAACATATCAGTTTGGATGGGCACAAGTTAATTTTTGCTTTGTCAAGTCCTATTTTTCGTGCGATGTTTTATGGATCTCTGGCAATGGATGGAAAAGTGGTCATAAAAGACTCTTCTCCAAAGGCGTTTCAGAATATTCTAAAGTAAGTTTTGTTGCAATTAGATATTTTTTCAATAAAATAGTATATATTTTAACATAATATTTCAATATTTCAGATACATATATACCAACAAAATTTTTTTGAAAGATGTGGACGATGCCATTGATACTCATTATTCTTCTAAGAAGTATTTTTTGTATAAACTAGAAAATAAATGTGTTAAATTTATGGATAGAGAAATTAATATAAAAAATGTTCTTCAAGTATTTGAATATTCGATTCTTATGGAACTGAAAAAGATAGAAGAAAAATGTCAAGAAATTATAAAGCGAAATCCAGAAGCATGTCTTCGATCTGAATATTTCTTGAACATGAATCTAGAATCTATAATGAAGATAAGCGAATGGTTTTTTAAAATAAATGTCTCTAACAAATTCTTAGGCGAGAAAATAGTAGAATGGGCTACAAAAGAGTGCAACGAACAAGAAATTTCCAAGACAGAAGAAAATTTGAACAGTCTCTTGGAGCCTGTTCTAGATAAAATTGGTTCTGAAACTTTTTCAATTTTAGTTGAAGATATGACTCATAAATTTAAGAGATTCTGATTATTAATAGAAGTCGCCAAAAAGTATAATATCATTTCTCAATTTGGACATTTTTAATGATAAAATAAAATACGATTAAAACATTGTAAAATTGTAGAAAACGAAGCATGATTAATTATAGATTGTGTTTTAAGTATGTTGATTAATTTCATTATTAATTAAAGTAAATATTTCATGACTATAAATTAAACATATAATATGTTTACATATTGTTGAATTAGTAGTTAATAGAAATTTATAATGTAATCATCATGGAATTGTAAAAAAGAATTATAAAACAATGTTCATTGCAAAACAGTACATTATCTTTTCTGAATGTACTCTGTTTGTTAATAAAAACTCTGCTATGTGACACTGAGAGGACCTATTTTCTATGCTTGTAATTGGTTCAGCCAGGCCTACAGTTGCCGGGCGCGTGGTGAGAGATGGATGTTTAATGGGCCTTTCATATTATCCTGTGGCCACCTGCCATGAAAAATTTCNAAATAAAATACGATTAAAACATTGTAAAATTGTAGAAAACGAAGCATGATTAATTATAGATTGTGTTTTAAGTATGTTGATTAATTTCATTATTAATTAAAGTAAATATTTCATGACTATAAATTAAACATATAATATGTTTACATATTGTTGAATTAGTAGTTAATAGAAATTTATAATGTAATCATCATGGAATTGTAAAAAAGAATTATAAAACAATGTTCATTGCAAAACAGTACATTATCTTTTCTGAATGTACTCTGTTTGTTAATAAAAATTTTATATCTACAGGTCACCTCCTCTGTGGCAATTGTTTGATATATAATAAAAGTAATCTTTTTCATTATTGATTCTCTGCTATGTGGCAATGAGAAGATCTATTTTCTATGCTTGTAATGGGTTCAGCCAGGCCTACAGTTGCCGGGCACGTGGTGAGAGAGATGGATTTTTCATGGGCCTTTCACATTATCTTGTGGCCACCTGCCATGAAAAATTTCTGGGGCGTTGCACGCCCAAATTCAATCCCGGCTACCAGAGCGATAGGATAATTGCCTCGGCCATCTGCTCGGCTGCAATGTAACCTACATTTCTGATAAGGTATTTGTCTCACTGTTCTTAAATCTTAAATAACTTTTCATACTATTTACAACAAATCAATAGCATTCAATTGGAGTCACCTTGAGGATTTTAAAATAAGCTTAAAATTTCACACTTCATAGAAATAAAGAATATATATACTGTTTAATTTTGAACTGATGGTCAATACTATGAAGATACTAGCCTACTGCTTTGAGAAATACGCATTCGAGTCCGGATTATTAACCCGAAATTTTTCGGAGGAATCTGTTCTAAATATATCACCTCGTCACTCGACCACCTTGGGAGCATGACAATCATTGATGGGCCCGGAAAAGCCCACTTAATGTCCAGCGTGGATCTTTTTTCTTTTGCTGGCATCAATAGGATATCACAATTCAGCATAGAAACGTTTTTGACACCAGAGAAGTGTCTTATAACAAGTTGAAATAATCTTTTGATTTCGTCTGGATGACACCAACCGAATTTTATTGGGCTGCATTTTCAAATTGAGGACCTATAAATTTCCCTCGTCGTTCATTTTCCCGTTTTTCGTTAATCTTGAGAACGGAGTTAGATGCAAATCCAGACCATATACAGAAAGTTTGGAAGACGAGACTCAGATTAATTTTTATATTAAAATATAAAAATTACAGCCCGACATTGTGAAAATGTCACAATAAATAATTCCGATTTTATTGTTATTGGAAACTGATCAGTGGCATGGAAGCTGTGGAAACGTCGCCGCTTCCCTTGTATTTTCTAAAACACAAATACATATCGTGCGATTATTTTCATATTTTAAACGTACTTTGAATTAATTAAAATTAATATTTTATTATAACCGCATTACGTATCTTATTACAAATTTCTATACTACACGTGGAAAAAATAAAATAAATAAGATTGCTATTGTATATTCGAATATTAGTGGCGGAGTAGAATCTCTGTATTGTCAGATTCCAAAAAGCCAGATTTGCGCACGCGCTTTACAGAACACCGACCTCCTTTACAGAACACCTGGTTTAGCCGGTGAAAGCCTACGACCTTGGGTTGTTGCTTCACGTATAATGCTTCCAATTCTATCCGGGACCGGTTCTGGGCTGTTAGCCACCCGCCCGCTAGATATTTGGCCGATTTCGTGAATAACGAGTAGATTTATAACTTAACCCGACTGACAAGAATTTACTGGTATGTTTTTACGATAGTTCTGTATAGTTGACGGGAGTTAAAAAATCTATTAAAATATTTGATATTTTTATTCCGCTCCCCGATTTTATATTACTCACGGATTTCAATGTTAAACTAGTGATATTACGATTTCGTATATCCCATCTTGAAGGGGATGTAGAAAAAAACGTGTATAATTATTGTATAATGTTAAAAAATTAACCGTTACTTCGACAGCGTCATTTACAACTAAATTTAATGAATGAGAGAGATGCACGAGGTACAGAAAAAGCTCTAGAATTTATTTTCCTTAAATTTACGATTTTATGTATCCGTTTGTCATAAAAATTTGTCTTTCCACTTTTTTTCCAGAGACGTAAACAAAACCCTGACGAAAGAGCCGGAATATTACTTAAACAAACGCTTAACCGAACCTATCTATAGCCGAGTACAGTAGGGACTGATTTCTTCGAAATATTGTATTAGATGTAATAAAGACAGAAATTTTTCCAGTTCATCGAGAGTGACCGAAAAGTTGTAAATTTTGGAAATTTCCGTGGACGACATCTGGTCCTAAAACGAATTAGTTAAAAAACAAATGACTATTAAGTTTAACATATTTAGATTTTTACAGCTATGGTGAGTGTGGCGGCCGAATAATTGTAACTAGCGCTACATCTGAAAATCCAGGTGGCGCTGGCGCGACGGATATATAAGCATGTGCAGGCCGTCCGCCATACTTCTTTTTCCGACTTGTCGACTACTCTCCGGGCGTGGGTTACTCTCATTTACCAACACGTGGACCCTAACCAACCGTACCAATAGTGTAGAACGAGATTTCTATGAACCACTTACTCAGACTCAGCCTCTTAAGCAATATATTAGACACATCCAACACACCTTACTGCTGAGAACATATATTTATTACACAAAACTAACGTTTTCGGCCCAATTTATGGGCCATCTTCAGGTTACCGTTGTTCGACTCTAATACAAAATCGAACACGTTCAAAATTAAACCAAAATAGAACATACGTTTAAATTAAATTAATAGAATAAGCATAACCAAAATAATAAATAATAAAAAACCAAAATAACACAAAAATGAAAATAAAATACGGTGATTGGCCGTAAACACTAAGGAATAATTCCTTATACATTAACCCAGATACCTATTGAGTCACGGTCGACGCATTATTACGCGTGTTATTTCTTATTATGTATTTCCAGGATGACGGTAACGCCGTCGCATCCTTATAATTTAAACATCTGTCAGCCAAACTCGCTCTGTAAATTTCGCATTTCTCAGCGTTGGTGAGCATACTTTTGCAAGAATTTTGGCATCCTCCCATTTAATAACCGAACCATCCGCTTGCGCCATTTTGGATAATGCTGTTGCACACTTGTTTTTTGCGACATCGTATCTGTGCTTCTTTGAGATATTCTAGTGATACGACAAAAGACGTTAACCGGTATCGGCACTCTCGGAATTTGGCATGCATGTGTGAGGATCCGAATTCGGACTTTTCGTGTGTTTATATCATTTCACATTGTAGCTATACTTTCATTCGATAACTGTCAACTTTTACACCTGGGAGTTAAACATCTGCTAAGTTCTCAGGCGTAATAACGACGCTTTCTCAGCACCTTTCGACCTAATATCTCCGTTTCACCAATCCAACATGAAAAACAGACAACAAAGTAGCAGTCGTCGCCCGTCTTTCTAAAAGAGAAGTAGTCACTAGTACCTTGTCCTAAGTGTCTCACTATTCGGATATCTGCGAATATATCCTACAAAAAGATCATCGGAACCATCGACTAACACCCTTGCGGATACTGTTCTATCATTCTTACGGATACATCCTCTACCGGACTGACATTCCGAACTTTCTTCCCTTCACCAAGACCGCTCGAGAATCTCCATCAAGACAGCAAAAACAAAAGGTATTTATCGCCACGCGAAATTTCTGTAAACTCTCTCTCAAATCGGAAAAACAAAACGTAATATCTTAATATCTTAATACTATCAAATCGAGAAATGTATCTAACAGCAGCCCTAATGTATATTTTATTTTATTTTTTATTTTATTTTTATTATTTTTATTATAGAAGAGGCTGTCTTTCGACTTAGCCTTAGAGGAAGGAAGAGGTGGGGGGATGAGAGGCAGGGGGGATGGTAGGTGGGGGTGAGAGAGAGAGAGTGAAAGGAAGAGTAAATGTGATCACATGATTGCCTTGCATCGGCAATTAATAGGTCACAAAAAATACAATGGCTACAGATTGCCAATTTGGCGGAGGAGAACAGAAATAAAGTAATATTACAATTTTCAATTTATAAATTTACATGTATACAATTTGGCGAGACAGTTATATACAAAATAATAGTATAGTAATTACAAAATAATATAATTATATACAAAATATATAATTTGGGAAGTACAGATTAATGCCTCTTGTTAGAGGAGTTTGTTTGAAAGATGTTACAGCTGTTTATAAAGTTGATCAGGAGATGGAATGCTTCTTTATTAGCACACAGGTAATCAAGCTTTGGGGGCCAGTTTTGACCTTTGTTGATGCTGTGGCTGAACAGTTTATATCGTTCCGAGTCCAGGTTGGGGCAGTCCAGGAGGTAATGGAGGGAGTCCCCTTTAGAAGTATTGTCACAATCACAGTTTTCTTTATCTCGTTTACCAAAACGAGTGAGATAGGCTGGGAAATTCCCATGCCCTGTTATGCATTGGGTGATACCGTATGTCGGGAAAAAATGGTGGAGCTGTTGGCGGTCTTTGACGGAGGGAAGGAACCTATAGGTGATCCTACCTGTATTAGAGTTTGTCCAGTCCTTTTGCCATTCATTCATGATTTTATCATGAATGAGGCTTTTTACGAGGGTGATGGGTATCTTTTTGAAGGATGGAGTGACATTTAAAGTTGTAACTTCTTTCGCTAAGGCATCTGCCCTCTCGTTACCGGCTATGCCACTGTGGCCCGGGATCCAGTTGAAACTAATGTTTCTTTTCTTGTGTAGGTTGTTGGCTAGGTAGCAGACCCTGATACCTGTTGCCGTCTGTTTAGTTGTTCCGTTGAGGACACTCAGCACATATCTGCTGTCTGTAAAGAAGTCGATGTTACCCTGGTATATCCTGAGATG